TCTCTCTCTCTCTCTCTCTCTCTCTCTCTCTCTCTCTCTCCCTCCCTCTCCTTTACTTCATTCCTCTTTCTCTCCTCTCTATCTCCCTTCTGTCCTTTCCTCCTTCGTTCTCCTACCCCTCCTCTTCCCATCTCTCTCCCTCTTTCCTTCCATCTCTCTCCCTCTTTCCTTCCATCTCTCTCCCTCTTTCCTTCCATCTCTCTCCCTCTTCCCTTCCATCTCTCTCCCTCTTCCCTTTTTTAACTTACGACCGTTACATCCACACTTCAGTTTAGGCCGTTCACTCCCTCTCAAAGTAAAGCCAGATCGAGTGCCATGTTCTCTCTGGCACTACCAAATAAGGGCAGATGGCACCGTGTATCTTCTCCCTCTCTTCTCCCCCCCTTCTCTGTCTCTCTCTCTCTGTCTCTCTCTCTCTGTCTCTCTCTCTCTGTCTCTCTCTCTCTGTCTCTCTCTCTCTCTCTCTCTCTCTCTCTCTCTCTCTCTCTCTCTCTCTCTCTCTCTCTCTCTCTCTCTCCCCCCCCCCCCCCCCCCCGTGGACTGACCGGCACGGTGTTCTTTCTCAACCACGTGGGATTAGGGGCACTGGTAGGTGTGTGTGTGTGTGTGTGTCTGTGTGTACATGTATGTTGTGTCTGTGTGCATGCATGTATGTGTGTCTGTGTGTACATGTATGTGTGTCTGTGTGTACATGTATGTGTGTCTGTGTGTACATGTATGTGTGTCTGTGTGTACATGTATGTGTGTCTGTGTGTACATGTATGTGTGTCTGTGTGTACATGTATGTGTGTGTGCACATTCATGGGAATGTGTACTTGTATTCATCTGTGTGTGTCTCTCTCTGTGTGTGTACGTGTGTATGTAAGTGATTTTTCCTCCCCTCCAGCCCTTGTGTGTGTATGGTTGTGAATCGTAATTTCTACTCCATCCACGCCCCGCTGCGCGTCCAGGAGAGACTATCGAGTTGCATTTGTTATTCCAGCAAGAACAATGGGGGGGGGTGATCCCATTCCCCCTACAGAGTCCCTTTACAGTTAGAAACAGAGCAAGATAAAACTGATACGGGCGAACTTGGTATCTTTTTGTATACGCTGTAGACTAGATTTCGGGAGGTATTGGTAAGTTCTTGTAAGTCATACCGGCCTGGTCGTGAGTCTGTCGGATGGTAAGGCAGGAGAAAAATAGAAACTTGAAGTGGAATCGACGTCTCGAGACAGTTACAGAAAAAAAAGAAAGTCGTAAATCCGAACGACAATACCGAAGAACCGAAGCCACGCGGAGGCAAACGGACGCGGCGTCTTGAAGCCTCGAGTGCACTGAACTGCCGAACGCCTTGACGCGGTTGCCGGCTCGTGATTTTCGGCCAACGATTTTAGTGGTAATACAGGTGTACAGAACCCCCCCCCCCCCACCTCACCCCCACACACTACTCCCTCCCTCCCCTCCCCTCTTCCCCCTCCCTTCATCCCCCTCCCTTCTTCTCTTCCTCCCCTTCCCCTTCTCCCCTTCTTTCTTCCTTGTCTGCTCATCCTCCTTTCTTTACTATTGTTCTGTTCGCTCACGGTCTGTACACTCTGTAGTGTACACGCTCTCATGTCCGGGTTCCTGCCTTGTACGGTCATGGAGTGTACGTACACACGGCACGCCTTCCTACTATGGTGTGTGTGTACGGTATTAACGCCTACCTTAGGGTTGTATATAATTACTTTTATTAATATTCGCCTTCTATATTATTTTTTATTGATATTGATAATCGGGTGAAAAAACAAACGATTTTTTCCGTTTTTATTTCAGTTTTTTTTTTTTCAGTTTTTTTTTTCTTCTTCTTTTTTCATTTTTTTTTCTTTTTTTTTCTTGTCTTGAGATTAAGGTCAAACACAATGAAGCAATGCAGTGTTAATTAGCATGTGGCTTTCTTGAAGTTGGCTTTTTAAACTTGGTGGATATCGTGAACTTTCTGTGACTCCATTATTTCATTTTTTTGGTTTTGTTTTTGTTTTTATTGTTATTGTTATTCGTAGCATCATCATCATCATTCATTTTGTTTCGTCAGTATAATGATAATGATAATGGTAAGAGTAAGAATGATTGTTGTTATTATTATTATTATTATTGTTGTTGTTTTTATTATTATCATAATTGATATTATTGTTATTGCTGTTGTTATTATTATTACTATTATCATTATTATTATTATTATTATTATTACTGCTACAGTCATCACCATCATTATCAATTATCACCATCTATGATTCTCGCTTCCCTCCTCTCCCCCCCCCCCTTTCCCCTTTCCTCCTCCTCCTCGTCCCCCCTTCCCCCTCCCCTTCCCCTTCCCTCACGCCAAAAACTAAAAAAACTAAAAAAAAAAATCCACCGGGAGGCTGTGGCAATCAGACCCGCAAAAATACTGCCCAAAAATACAGTTAAATTGTCATGAAAGGCTGCAATTAACTTGTGCCTAAACGACTTGAACGGGGAAGTTTATATGAATTACGGCTTGAACGACCACTGTGACGTCACTGATGATGACAACGACCTCCAGAAGGCGACTGCAGGGCGTTGGGGAGATGGTTTTAGGCATCGGCGGTCTGTCTGTCTGTCTGTCTGTCTCTCGATCTATTTGTCTCTCTCTTTCTCTCTTTCTATTTCTCTCTCTCTTTCTCTCTTTCTATTTCTCTCTCTCTTTTTTTTCTCTCTTTCTCTCAATCTTTCTCTTTTCTTTCTCACTCTTTCTCCCTCATCCACTTCCCCTCCGTTTGTTTGTTGTTTGCATGTTTTCCTTGTTTAATTACGCTCAATTATCCACCTCGCTTACCTCATCCATCTACCAGCCACGACAAATCCATCCACCTCCTCTACCCCTTCATCCACGCACCAGCCACATCCACCTCATTCATCCACCCACTAAGCACCTCATCTACTCATCCACTCACTCACCAAGGACCTAATCCACCCAGGCCCTCCACCTCATCCATCCGAACAACCTCCCTCAACACCTCTCATCCACCACGGCCACTCTCATCCACCCATCCATCCACCTACCAACCACTCTCATCCACCACAGCTACTCTCAGTCAAGAGCATTGATCTCTCCACAGCGATTTTCTCTCTCTTTATCTCTTTCTCTGTCTCTCTCTCTCTCTCTCTCTCTCTCTCTCTCTCTCTCTCTCTCTCTCTCTCTCTCTCTCTCTCTCTCTCTCTCTCTCTCTCTCTCTTTCTCTCTCTTTCTCTCTCTCTCTGTCTGTCTCTCTCTCTCTCTCTCTCTCTCTCTCTCTCTCTCTCTCTACCTCTCCCTCCCTCTCTCCCTCCCTCCCTCCCTTCCTCCCCTGCATTCCTTCCCGGCGCGTGCGTGCGTTCGTGCGCGCGTGCGAGTGAGCGGGTGGTGGTGGAAGTAGATGGTCACTTCCGGTCATGCGCTGTTCTCTGCCTCCCACGTGGGTCGGAAGCGATTTGAGGGAGAGCAGGAGGAGGAGGAGGAGGAGGAGGGGGAATGAGGAAGTGAGGAAGTGGAGTAGGGGGGAGAGGAGGAAGAAGAAAAAAATAGATGGAGGAGGAAGTGGAGGAGGAGGAGGAGGAGGAGGGGGAGGGGGAGGAGGGAGGAGGAGGAGGGGGGAGGGGGAGGAGGGGAGGAGGAGTAAGTGGAGGAGGAGGAGGAGGAGGAGGAGGAGGAGGAAAAAAAGAGAGAAGGAAACTGAGGAAGAGGAGGGGGGGATTAGAAAACAGGGCCAGAGTGAATGGCAGAAACAGAGAGAGGGAAAGAGCAAGCAGGGCCTTGCAAGATGTCCTTCGAATTCCTGATTTAAGTCCTTCGTCTTTTATTTTTTCTTCCTCTTTTTTTTAACTTCCACTTTTGTCTTGGAAAAAAATGATAATGATCCTACTTATAATCATTATGATAATTGTTGAATTACCCGGCGACTACGAACGTACTTCCTAACATCGCATATCGAGACAACGCATTACGAGCGTATTTTTTTCTTCTTTTTTTTTTCGTTTTCTCGTAAAAAAAAAAAGAAAATGCGTCATTTATCTTCCTGTGGATATTCTCAGAGAAACGTTATGACGTGTGCAATGTTGTCGAGGATAAATCTAATAATATTTGTGAAAGAGAGAGTGTAAGTAGGTGGTAATGGTGATGGGAAAATTGCATTGTGGGTAATAACCTTGAAAAATGGCGGTCGTGAATGGCGGTCGTGATGATAATGGCAAAGATATAAATGCCATAACTAGGTTTATTTATGCTCACCAACTGTATTCATACTAAAATAAAATGCTTCTTATGATAGTCACTTTATAAAATATCTTTTCATTCTCTGAAACGGGTCTGTGTTATACAGCAATAGTGCTAATAAAAGTGCCATCATTTTCTTTTTTGTATTTTTTATTTCTATAAAAACGTTTCCGGCGATTTAAAAAATCCAGCTTCTTGGTTTCTTCATTAAGGGAGAAATAAATAAATAGATAAAATGAATTGTCTATTATCCTTAAAGACAAAATAAACGTTTTTATGCCTCACAAATATTTCCTCTTATACCCTTTTTTCGAATAATAACAAACGTTTCTCTCTCCGCTTCTTATAAAACATTTCCTCACCAAGCAACAGACATTCCATTAATAAAAAAAAACAATAATAAACAGTTTTATCTTCCCCGTACAACAAAATGCAATTAATCTTGGGAGAAAATGAAAGTGTTGTTTCGTTGAAAAGGGAAAGATGATAAAAAGAAACTGTATATTTGTTTTATTTTATTTTTTCTCTTCAAACAGAAATACCGCTAATTGACAGACAGATAGACAGACAGGCGACAGACAGACAGGCGACAGACAGACACAGACAGACAGACAGACACAGACAGACAGACACAGACAGACAGACAGACACAGACAGACAGACACAGACAGAGAAAGAGAAAGAGAAAGACAGAGAGAGAAAGAGAGAGAAAGAAGAAATAATAATAATAATAAATGCTAACAAATCTTTTCCTTCTGCCCTTTTCCAG